GACTCAGGTGTAACCTCTGATAATAAAAAGGAATAATTACATACAGATCACTCAAAATATTGATAAATTAATTATATAAATGATTTTTCTAAACTACCGAACAATGTATTCATGCATGACATGATCAAACTACTGAGAATTTGATAAAATTGATAAATATGGGAAGGAATTTTATCATGGAGATTGATATTTGAGTGTGAGTTTGAGAAATAGATGAAAGAGGGTGGTCGATTTGTAAATAGGAAGTTTTTGGTGTTCTATATGTAATTGCCCCTAAAAAAATTTGATATCAGTCTCTTAAACTCTGTTCAAGTTTAGGATTAGAAGATATGTTAGTCTAAGGCAATAAGTCAATAATATTCTCTCAAGTAGTAGATTTTTGAACAATTATAAAATAAAATATGTCACTTTTCTTAGTGTTTGTGGTAGCCATGTAGCAAGTTTTGCAGGGACATCAGTGGTTGGGTTGTCAAATTCTCACGGACGGTGCTAAATGATGCGTGTAAGAGAATTCATGATGATAGAGTAATTAATTAACGTGTTAGCGTTGCGTGAGAACTCAGTACATACTTAGATAATAGAAATAATGGGCAGAAATAAAACAATATTTTTTACGTGAAAAATCCGAAAAGGGAAAAAACCGCAGGGGTTTGGCATAGTTTAAGAAATTCACTATAAATTGGAGATTACAAATGTGCAGATGTAGTCTATTGTATGATAGATGGGAAAAAAGGTTGTACAATCTCCCGAGCTTAAAATCGGTGCTTGGATGGACTTGTCACCTTATTGTAGGGAGAATCACAAAGGGGTGTAATGATCAGGGCTTTAATGCACCGTTTTCGGGGTCGACATGACGTCCGAGAGGATGCACCACTTCGTAGGTTATTTTGTATAGTGCTTCGTGGCAAGGAGTGAGTGGCAGTCGATGATGTACGATGACGGCTAGTGTGTGGTGGTCGACAATGATTAACTGCTGCAAGAGCATGAGGTGTTCATCGGATTGTTGATGCAGAAGTGATGTTGGACCTCGACATTTTCACTAAGCTTCAATTTTCAACAGACTTGAAGCTTGGATCTCTCTCAAGAGAAGGGTAGAGTCATATTTATATTCTCATTTGCAATTAATAAAAGAACCTAAACCACGCTTAAAGAGCTATTAAAGATCCATTTTCGAGGCAAGCTGTCAAAATCAGCTAAAAAAAATCGATCTAAAATTTTAGCTCGTAGCTCGAATCGTTTATTTGGATCCAATCTCGATCTGAGCCTAAATTCAAATAAATTTTGGAGTGATTAATATTATTTGAGCTAAATTTACTAAATTCACAACTCTAACATCACTAGGACTATTAAAGATTTGATTTCGAGCCGAGTTGGTGTCTGCTCGAAAAAAAATTAGAACCAAATTTTAGCTCGTGGATCTTCCAAATATGATTAAAAAACTTCAAATAGTTATTTAACAAGGCTTGATTTGGTTCAGATTGAATCAACTTTGATACCATTGAGTCCGTCTTGCCAATCCGATTAATTTGACAGCGTGCTCGCTGAAATAAGAATTCTGGATGAATTTTGATCAAATTCTGAATTTTTCTTGCTTCAAATGCTGTATTTAGATCCGTGCAAAGCCTCCAGATTCGTCCCATGAAATTACCGGAAGGCAAAAGGTGGGCCGAATTGAAGATATGAACTTCTCGGCCCAGACTTTGTGGTCAAACTTCAACTATGCACGTGACAAATTCGAGTCAATTTAAGACCGGTTCAGCTGATTCAAGCCGGAATAATTGCACGTCTCCGAAACGCAAGCTTTCAAGGATCTACATTTATCTGCTAGAGTTGCATTTCCAGGGAAACCTTTTTACAAATATTCATATATATTACAATTAAATTTATTCTATTTGCATATTTAGCATTTACAATTCTATAATTACTTACATAATAGTTGAACTTCAAAAATCATGAAAGTTATCTCTTCATCTCGGGCGGAAATAAGGCTCCATTTGGCCAGCGTTAGGTGGCGGTGTGGCGCCGTGCTCTTGTTTTGACCATTTGTGTAGATTGAGTTTTAACAGCTTTTTCAAAAAACTATCACTGAAATCAGCATTTTCTAGTCGCTCCTGACTAGATACGATGGGAGTTTTGACAACTTTTTCAAAAAGCTGTAAACTGTTGGTTTCAGTGGCAACTCAGTGGCAGCAGCCCCAAATAAAGCCTGAGTCAGGTGCTCTTGTTTTGACCATTTGTGTAGATTGAGTTTTAACAGCTTTTTCAAAAAGTTGTCACTGAAATCAACATTTTCTAATCGCTTCTAACTAGATACGATGGGAGTTTTGACAACTTTTTCAAAAAGTTGTAACTGAAAATACTGGTTTCAGTGGCAGCTCAGTGGCAGCTGCTCCAAATGAAGCCTGAGTCAGGCATTTGCAATTTATTTATATAAATAATAAAATTTAATAATTTTTCTTACATAGTTCAGGCGATTTAATGTATGGGTTCATAATCTTTTCTTTTTATTTTTCGCAAAGCGTTGGATAATTTAATTGGCGGCCATCACAATTAAAACCTATTTTTTTGGAGGTATTTATACACGTGCCACCCAACTTATGTATTTATATATCTAACTACTAAATTTTTCTCCTTTTACATTTATAACATCAAAATTTTTCATATCACATCAATATTCGAGGCGACAGTGCAGCGTCACACCACAATTTTATCTGTATTAGCAAACTGCTCTTTGGAAGTTCTTAAAAAATATGCTGTTGAAATCTGCATTTTCCCGCCAGTCCTGACTTAATGCGATGACAGTTTTTTTATTTATTTAAATAATAATAATAATTACCACCGTAGTTTTTTTAACAGCAGAGGAGCTGATATGAATAAAAATATTGATGTCTGGGTGTTGACATGTAAATACGTAGGAATTGAGCGGTATATATGTAAATTTTTCATTTTTTTAATTTACAACAAAGCGAAATTTGATGAGGTGGTAGCTGAT